CTCGAAATTGCTAGGAAGCTCTGCGGGGAAGATATTATCTTACTCGGTATGCTCGCCAAACACAGATGCTCAGCTGCTTTGCTTTCGTCACTCGATCTTCTGCACGGGGGGTTCTGGAAGAGACGTGTGAACTAATAGTTAGAAGGGTAAGGACCCTGATGGCAGTTGTCGTCCTCATGCATTTCTGCCAACAGCCAATTTTCTAGCTCAATTTTTTTCCTACTGAGGTTTTCTTTCGCGCAAAGGTTGCTCCAAAGTCGGGTGACTGGTGCGGCCGCGTCAGGCATGGTGAAGTCGATCGGATGAGCGGCAAGGGGGCGCGTCAAGAAGGCTTCTATCTGGAGCCACCAAACGTCGCAATGGAACAAAAATACGCGCTTGCCCGTGCCACTGCAAGACATGTGCGAGGTCCCTTGCATCTTAGAAAGGGGTCTCTGCAATCCTTTTGTAAGTTATAATTACCACAAACCCCTCAGGAAGGTCCCTAAGGATACTGAGAAACACATCGCATGTGGCTTCCTTGGAACGCATACAGGTCTTTAGGGAATGTACTGCAGTCGAGACAGGAACCGTGAGCCATGCTATGCTTGCATTTCACAAACATACAGTTACAGAACCCAAAACCAAGTGCTATCCACATGCAGCCGCCCACCTGTGGCAACGCTGGCAAGGGCCTGGCTTGTGATGCTGTGGTGTCTCCTGCTCCTAACGATTCATCTTTGTTCATGGATGACCCACCGCAACGGCAACGTACAGTGTTTGGTCATTTACCCCAACGGCTACGTACAACGAGGATCTTCTCTCAAAGCAGCTCGCCTTGCTTCTATCTGACGCGCTGGGTAATGCAGGCGTTTTGGCCAATGTCCCTACCAAACGGCTGTGGAACAAGGCTCAAGCCCTAAACTCAAAGACATTATGGTTTCCTAGTCAAGCTGACTCGGGCTGGGGAGGGCGTATTCTTGCCCAGAGAGGCCCGCCCTCGAAAGTGAAAGCGCCATGTTGCTGAGTTAAGAACTTTGAGCTGGCAAGATGAAAAAAGCAACTAAAGTGGAAGTCTTAGCAGCAAGAAACCTAGAACCTGGGTGAACATAGCCTGTGCCAGTCACGCTGTGATCCAACGGTTCCTATAGTACACGCACGCACGATCACCATCCAAAATTTACAATATCAGAGAACGAGCATGCAGAACAACTGGGGCGAATGGCAGGCTATGTAAGCTGGTTTCATGAACCAGGGAAAGCTGTGCCGTGAAATGAAGACGCCCTCATGACATACACTCTCTGTTCCCATTTTGAGCAAAACATGCTTGGGGCCACCTGTGGCATGCCATCTGCAACCTCGATCCACTCTTCCACCTTCGCTGCAAGCATTCAAGATAGGAAAATGCCACTGCGAGATTTTGCACTACCTTGGTCAAGTGTCGAATAATCAGAAGTAGAACCCTGTTCAAGTGAATGAATAATCAGAAGTAGAACCCCTTTCAAGTGAATGAAATATGTTTCCAAGCATCACCTGACCAATCAGGCAGCTTGCCACCAAACATCAACAACGACTCCTAGAGCTGTCCAATGAACTTCAAGTACTAGCTTCTGTGAGAGCCCGCATTTCTGAATGACTGCGCGCCCGCCCCCGCCCTCCATAATGCAAGCCTTTATCCCAATGAACGCTGGCGGCCTCTTCTTCTTCGTCGCCCGCTGAACCCACGAAGAATTGCGATAAGTCTGCGATCCTAGGCACAGAATAGCCACAGACATTCCAGGTTCGGTTTTGGGGGCTGGCTTATGGTCGAAGTCTCGGGGTCGGGTTCGAATCAAAAGATGCATAGAATAAATTCACCAGAGTCGGTGACAGCCGAGACCCGCGATACACAGTTGAAAGCGATTGGCTTCAGAAAGTATCGATGGTGCGCAAATGACAAAACACCACCTGCCTCTTATGATATCTTGTGCGTACATCGCTTCTGGATACGGGGCACAAACTCGAAGATTCTGACAGCTCATTTAGGATCTGCATGCAAGATCTTCTGTGCGGTGCCTTTTTATGGATAACCAGTTCTGCAGGCGAGGTGCGAGGGGTAGTCGAACATCAGCGTGAAGGGAAGACCTATCTGGTTGCCAGTCGAGCAGGGCTTCTTCACGGGAAAGGGAGTAACAATACGCATTATGATGGCAATAACTACAGCAGTAGAAGCATAAAAATGACAAACAACTCTTGGGCAAGCAGGGTCTGACAACAACCTCACAGGTGCAGAGGAAACATCTCGAACAAGCGAACCCCTTAAGGCTGCTCCTTTGAACAACTTGCTCCTCGGGCACTGTGTTAACGATGGAACTCAGCAGAATGAAATGGAGCAAAAACAAACTACCTCAACCCTAAGACCTGCACCCTACTCTTGTCCAACCTCAACAAGGCAGGAAGTCAATCTATGCTCCGTGCTGCTTTGACTGGGGATTTCCTTGCTCAGAGCGTTCCGTAGCAGCACCTTGGCAATGTGTTTTTCACAAGGTAGGTGAGGCGTGTGGGGGCCCTTTGTGCATCTGCATGACCTACCTCCTAACAAGCCCTATCATCGCAACCTCAGATCGCTGGAGCAACTGAACACTGCAGAGCCCTCTTCAACCCTCGTACCCACATGCATGCTTCCTCCAAGCTCCTTGCGGCAGACTGGCTCGTGAGCCCTGCTTGCATCAGAGGGGTGTCCTGAGTTCTGTCCCACTAGTGACTAGTGGGATTGGGCAACTCTTCCAACGTTCATAGATGCCTACTAGTCATCCTGACGATCATCATCATTCTCATGTTGGTTCCTGGGACAGCTTTAGGATAGTCTGAAGCAAGTTGAGTTTGCCACTAAGGCCCCAGCATCCACAAGATTGTCCATGCCTACGATCTCAGACACAACACTGCGGACCTGCGTTGCAACAGTCGCAAAATGGGATGAAATGCCAAGGCACAAAGCTTGTTTTTTCGGTATCCTCCATCGAGGTCTACTGTGTCGTGTACATACTGCAGTCGCACATCCAGGTTCGCAGTCCGTATGCCCACCCAAAACTCATAATGACAATGGAAACAAGCCTACAAACTATGTAGCCTCTGGCTTGCCCAGGCAGGCAGCTGCTTATGGAACTCTAACAGGGTCACAGAAGCCAGCTGGAAGCCCTGCTACATGGTGATGCAGCACCTGTATGTTGGCACTTGGAAAGTAACCTACATCAGGGCTCCACACAACAAGGAACCACTAGGAAGGACTCCCCTTTGCATGAGTTTGCTGGGAAGCCATTGCTGCCATTTCTCTATGGCTCTTCCTTGCGGGTCCTTGCAAACCCGCTTCTGATTCCAAATATGCCAGAATGACTAGCAATCTGAATGTTAACAGCTCCCGCGACTTGCAACTGCCATGCCCGCAAAGACAACTCAGAATAATGCAAGAAAAGCAGTAACGAAAGGGTGGCCTGCACCCTCTCGTAACCCGGATAACCCCTTGTATGAAGCCACGCCAAACCGTCACAAACAAGGGGATTCCATGTCTGCTTAGGGGAGAGGAGCCCTGAGCTCCGAACAAAACACGACCAATGAAACCTTCTGACAAGTCTTGTAGTCACTTTAACCCTTCAAAACTTTTTAGATACTTCGCCTAATATTCACACAAAAAGACTTCCCGAAGTTAGGTTGTTTGTGGAGTCTAGTTCCTGGCGTCATCTCCGGCCTTGTCCTTTAAGGCGCTCGCATTAACATCTTGGCAGCGCTGAGCTTTGCTAACCAGTAAGGGTTTTGCGTTCTAACTTTAATTTCTATGGAGGAATTTGGGGCTGGACAAGGACAAATGCACGGCATTTAGAAATCAGCAGTGGGCCCCACACGGCGCCCGTTTAAGAGCTGCGTATGCCACCTCGAAGAAAATGTAAGACGAGCAGCAGGATCACGGGAACAGGCTCAAGGACAGAATTCACAACTATATTGCTTGTGTCGCCCGATTTGGTTCCCCAAGCCTACAAAGCAACTTGACAAAGTGCGCCGCAAGACGTCTGCCCACGGCTGCTGTACTGAATCCCAGGCATATTCAGAAGTATTGTTGCGCGAAGTGGCTACCAAGAACAAATTGGATGAGTGCAAAGCCGGTTTGCATTCCAGCTTACTCACTGTGTCGCCCCAACATGCTACCCAAAGCTTGTATTCCAAAAGGCTACATCTGCCGTGAACTGGTTACTGAGAACAGTTTGAGGAAACATGTTGCGGGATTTGGATACCAAGCCTTTGAATGCCTGTTGCGGAAATTTTCGGTGAGATTGTCAGTGTTGGGCACGGGAAAGCTCCCTCCACGACCCGACAGGCACACACACTTTCCACAGAGCACAAGAACGTCGTTTAATGCAGCAACAAAGGAGCTGGGTTCGTTTAATGCAGCAACAAAGGAGCTGGGTTACAAGTTTAGACATGGCAACATGGCCCAAGCACTGCCCATATGAAGAAGCCTAAGTCGTTCCCAGCTCTTGGCAAAAGGAAAGTCTAAGTCCTCCAAACTCCCAGGCAGCTCTGAGGACGAAACTTGTCTTTTTCCGCCGCACCACCCGCACCTGGGCTTGGATAGGTTTTGGGGCCTCCAACTTACGCGGTTTTGTACTGGTTTTACTGATACAGATGTGTACCTTCAGGGGTCGGGCTTCGTTTGCGGGAAATCTGTGGTGATTTTTAAGGTCCGGGATTTGTTCTCGAGAGATACGACCTGCCCACTAAGGCTTTACCACAAGGCCGCTTGCTGGCAGTTTTGCCTTGTGCGAAACGCTTGTTTCATTGACGCTAAACCACTCTGTCACCATGCGCAACTCGACAAAGACATACAGTGCAGAGACCAGCACGCGAACGTTTTCATCACTGTCGCGAGCTGATCCAGCTGTCAGATAGTGCGCTTGCTGCAGGCTTCTCCCCCTAGAGGCTCTGAGGCCATAGCCTTAAACTCTATGCAGGCTTCTTGTGGTCCTAGCATGATGTGACCCAAACTGCGCTCACTCTTCTGGCTCCCGCTTGCGCTTGCCTGCGACATGGCCCCCTGTCAAGGCATCCACAGCAGCGGCAGCCTCCGACGTCAACGGCGGCAGCAGCAAGAAAACAAAACCGAAACACATAATCAATGACACAAATTATGAGGGGGCATTAGCAACAGTGATCGTTCTTGAAATGATCACTCATTTGAGCTTCAGTTGCCTCCACCTCTGGTACGCCCGCGGAGAAGAGGCTAACTTTCATCAGGACTTGTGGCCACGCACTCCTGGGCTGGCGCTTTGAAGGCTCTTAGAACATGCTGTCTGAAGTGCATGCTTTGCGACAGGAAACAGCAAAGTGTTGCACTTTCGGACCCTGACGCAAAGTCTCAGCATAGGAAGGCATCTTGACCACCTCCGCCATATTGTCCTTGATGTAGTTCAGACACGCCTTTCAGACAAATTGGGTCCCTACTGTTCATAAGTACCTCGACTCATTCAAGTTGCCCGCCTTTTCAAGCTCTTTGGCTTGATGAAGATGTGCTTGGCACAGGATGCCGCACACCGCAGAAGCAGTCAGCTCTTTGCAAAGCTGCATTTCGCACCACAGCTGCAGTCGGACCACCTTGAAAAAGGGTCCCCCTACACTGCTCATTGCGAAAAAGACTTGACATTTCAACACAAAACTGCATGACCTTGTAAACACAATGATACAAATACCTCTAGAATCGTTGTGCTAAGGGTTCCTAACCCCCACCTGATACTTGTGGCTGACGGCCAGCAGTGCCTGAACACGCGATAGCTTTGACGTGCTGTCATCGTCCTCATTCGTACCTCCACCATACATGGGGCACTACTTCTTAGTTGCGGAAAGTACACGTTTTACCTGTACAATGTCCCACTCTCAAAATGACATACTTCTTAACACTGACCCAGGAGCTGGAGCATAGCTCGTCAGCACTGGCGAGGTTATCAGTATAGATGAACTGCAGGAAAGCTTTGAAGGTTGCCAGGTCACAATCTGTAATCTCAATGACCTTGGACACCGATTCCTTCATTCCGGTGGTTAGCTGTGCTTCAAAGACCTCGGACCTCGCGCACAAGACCGGCGAGTGTGCGTTGATCACCTCCCCCTGAATCATGAACCTGGGTTGTGCTTGCAACAATCTCAGAAATGTTTGTAGTTCAGGTTGTGTGAAATTAAAAGCACGTAAGCAAAGCGCCCGCCAAACGTGGAACATCATACAGTATCCAGAGTCCAGAAGCTGTACATCGCTGCATGTGCCTTTCTCCCACAAGATTCGCATGTCGCGGCTCAGCGATGGTCCGGTGACCTGCATCTTGCGGGTTTCCCTAAACCAGGGGACCTTTTTAGGGGCCCCCATAATAAGGACTATGATATTTGGGGTCTATAATGGGGTTCCCTTATTTGGAAAATTACCATGTAGGAATCTGTGAAAGAAGGCCCCTGAGCCCCAACTCCTTCCTTCTTTGCTAAAACCAGCCAGTCACGGGAAGCCTCTGAGAGGCTGCCTCCCCCTAAGAATAAACAATAGGGTTTAGGGCTTAGGGTTTAGGGAATGTTGCGGGGATTTGTCAGTTGTAAAGGCCAAACTAATGTTGCACTGGCTCTAGTGAAGAGACCTTGAATAATGTGCGTTGATTGTGGGGCCTTAAAATAGGAGACAGAATTCAAACCATCCATTTTAAAGTAATCTCCAAGGCCTCATGGGGCCCTCAGCATCGTGGGGCCTTTAGAATCCTTACTTTCAACTTTTCGAGGGCCCTGTTGTTAGGGGGGGGCCCAAGTTCAAAGAAGGTCCAACGTCAGGGCCTATCTAAATAAAATCCCAACCAGAGGTCTCTGCGGACTCATGACATTCCTTCATAAAATACCTTAGAATTAATGTATGATGGTAGATTGAATCCAGGAAAATACGGCTAGTCCGTATTTACAAAAACTTCCCTTCAAGCGACCAGGAACCAATGCATGTCTAGAATCTATGGGAAGCCTATAATTCTGATTCGATTTTCTTTAGATTCCTTTAGATACGAGGCCCCATTTAATTTGCGGGAAATTCTTTGGCAAATCAAGAAAGGCAAGAAAACGAGGAAACAAAGGAATTCCCAAATTCTTCATCATTCGAAGACACGCGCCCCCGAATTACCTCAGAACCTTCACCTAATCAATGATGAATGGCCGCCTAGTTGGCCCCATTTTACAAGTAGTCTTTCCCGTTTTACATGATCTTCCAGAGCCGGAGTAGCTACTGTTGTGGGGATAATTATAATGAGTAGGGACTACTTGTTTCTCAGATTCGCGCCTTTGGTGGCCGAGGATCTCATGCGTATCACCCCTAGCATCCTCATCTAAGCGGGTGAAGGACGTAACGGGAACCGGCCGGGGGCGTGACGGAACGTGTACTGGGAGCCAGCCCGGGCGTAACGGGAACCGGGGACATGGGTAACGGAAATAGCTGGGGGCTGTTGTGACGGGAACCAGCGCGGGGGAATGAGAATCCAGAAGGGAATCATCAGCCCGATAATTATGAAACTAAGGTGACCGGCCGGCACTCTAATTTCATAAGAACCTCTGCAACTTCTCTCTCTCTCGCTCTCTCGGCGATGCAGCGCAGCACCTACATGCACCAACTAAAGCACACTACGCTCACTACACACATTTCTAAACGAGTTCCCTATTTTACAGATTGGCAAAGGAGTTGACCCACTCATCCTGAACTTGCTTAAGAGAAATTTGCGGGCAGTTTCGAAGATTATACTTTGTGCGCATAATTTGCCGCTGTTTTCCATGAGCTTCCACATAGCTTTCGGAAAGCAGAAACTGGATGACAAAGGGATCGCCATAAACATAACCAGGAGATGACAGAAGGAGCGCACCCCTGCAACCTACAACCCAATACTTTCGAAATTAAAGTGTGAAATTAAGGCGACGGGCGTTTGTCACCCAATTGCCTAGAGTGATCGCCGATCGGTCACCTTGATTCCATAATTCTCGGCCTGATTCCCTTCCGGGTTCTCGGTTTGGTACGGGAAGAACTGAGGTTGGGCACTGAGGGCAGTCTTGTACCCAAAGTGAGAAAACCAAGCAAGTCTACATCATTCAATCTTAAAAGTGTACATACCTACTACATAGCAAATCGTGCGATTTGATCTATGCACGTCAGGGGCGGCGCCTTGTATAGCTGAAGCCGAAAGCTGACTCAACCCAAGCCCCGTGTCCTCTATAGTTTTGTTTTCTCAAAGGCCCTTGTCACGGCGTCCTGCCTGGACGAAGACGTTGGTTTCGGTTATGTCCCGGGCTGGTGCTGTTACGGACCCGGTGATTCCTGTTACGCGTTTTCGCCTGGTTCCTGTTGCGAAGTAGCTGGTTCCTGCTACGGTGTTTACCGTTATCCTCCTACTATGGTACCTCATTCCCTCCTGCCCCATAAGGACCAGCATTGTCAGCAGATTGCCGAGGTCCCTCCCTTTGAAGACGGCCCAAAGAGCTATAACTAAACGCGCATGCTAAGGGACGGTTGTCCTAATCACTTAGTGATCTTAGTGTACGTGGGTTACGTTTGCGTGTACCAGCCTCCGAAAGAGCGGAACAAATATTTCCGCAATATTCCAAGATTTCATACACAAGGACTGCCACAAAAGGCATCCTTAACATTCGGAAAAATTTATGTGCCCCAACTTTATACCAATGCAGTCTGGAGAAACCCTTAGTAAGCCCTATGATTCCCCAACTGCAAAACTCCCTACATGTCCGTACGAAGGGTTCCTGCATCCTAAACCCTTATTAGAACCGAAGCCTGGGCCCTAAACCCAAAATTCCTGAATCTGTAATCCTAAGCCCAACCCTCAACCACGAAGCAGGCGTGCGAAATTCCCGGGCGCTAGGCAATTCAAAGACCCATTAGACATACCAGGGGACCGTAATACAAACCATAATGGCACCCCCTAGATTTCCAATCCGAAGCTGACAATCCAATGCTCTACCCTAAACCCTAAATCCTAAACCCTACGCCCTGAAATCGGCCCGAAGGTCAAGTAAGAAAGAGGACCCTGACCCAACCTCCACGCTGGGATTTGCCTTGCAGGTGTCCGAGAAAGATGGAATCCCCTCGGGTCGAACTTCCAATGAGCACTTTACCTGGACTTGGGCTTACTAGGGTAGGTTTGGGGACCTATACGTAAATAGCATCTTCATTGCTTTCTAGGATTTTTTCTAGGGGTTCTGGGTCATGAAAAGCAAGCATTACTTTCAAACCTACTCCTGTGTTTAGGGTTGGGGCCATCTTGAGGTGCAGGGTTTAGGGTTTAGGGTTTCAAGGGTTCAGGGGTTTGGGGCCTAGCAAGTTGCGAGCACTGTTGTGTGGCGCTGAGGGCTTGGCAAGCTGGCAGTACGGCCTCTTGATATGGGGGCTCCCCCCGAAAATGGGTTCCTTCTTAGGGGTACCTATAGTTAGGGTTGTAGTATTGCGGGCTCTATATTGGGGGGGGCCCTTATTTCGGGAAGCTACCACATGGGACATGGCAAGCATTTTCACAACCCCCAAAGGCAAAGAATGCCAAATTGCAATCTGGTCTCCGTCAAGGCACCGTTCTCCACCCACTCGGATTTTAGCAGCTGCTTGTGCGACAGTCCGAAGATACCCACGTTCCTGACTGCAGGATCTTCTCACTTGCAGGTCGTTGGAGGGGCTGATGGAATTTCGGAAATTCTTTGTTTTTTCACCCTCATGAACGCCTCCGTGGAGTAGGGCTGTTAATTACCTGCTGTGCTTCCTACCGCACGTGCACAAACAATATTCTGTTCAAATATGCCCGTTGAGCTGCAAACCTTTTTTCTTCCAGGCTAGGAAAACCCATAAACCCCAAACCTTCTAGAATGCCAGGCAGCCAAGAAGTTTTCCACGCCCCGCCCCGCCACCCGCCCCAGAATTAATTTAGAATGGAGCCTGCAAACGACTCGGTAAAGACTGCAGCCATTTCTGAAGGGGGCACCGAGGGCTTCTACGCTTGTCTGTGAGAGCCTACTCCCATCGAATCTAGGCCCTAAAGCCGCCACCTTTCCCTCCGCCAATATTAATACGACTCCCCCCCACTCCCCTAATACTAAATACTCCCAATCTATTCTAATATACCGCAATATCGGGGGGGTGGGGCTCCACGCAGTCCAGGGACGGCTTGCCACGGCGACAGCCTGCCTGTCGAAGAACTTTGTCTTACATGAGGACGGGAATTATTCATATAGTGTTTATATAGGGGCTCTATTCCCTTATTCCCGACTAGCTACCAATAAATTGTAGGATGAGGAGCCTAGGGTGGAAACCTAGGGCTGGAGTCAGGCCATACGGAAGCTTCAGCTGAATTTTTGCATTTTGGCGGTACCACGCTAAATCTTCTCGGAGGACTGCAGAGCATGAAAACCTCTAGACCCTGGACGCTCAGCCTGAAAACTCTGGACCCTATAGTTCCCCTGCAAGTAGATAGAATACCGGGTATAGGTGGATCTTATTATAACATGCCCAAAGCCATACTCTATCTACTTAAGGGGGACTGTAAATCTGGAGCCTCGTGAACATCGGGCCCATAAGCTCGCCAGTCATCGCTGCACCTGTTGCACTCATGGCCTCTCCGAAGGGTTGCAAAAGTCTTTTGATTTTTGATCGATGGGGTTACTTACAGACCGGTTGGGGCTACATAGGGGTTAGGTTGGGGTTATATAGGGGTTGTTTACAGGAAGTCTGTTTCGCACGCGGCCTGTCTCGCCCCACTGCACAAACTCTCCGCTTTTGGCCTTGACGAAGAGACGATAACGAAATGCGATCTTGTTCTTGCTCTTGTACAGCAAAGCCAAAGACCCGTGCTGTGAACCATGCACTTCCCCGCCATATGGATTATACACCTTGACCAAACAGATGCTTCACAAAGTTAAGCCCCAACGTTCTTTACCAGCAGCCAAACTAAAATTTCGACAGCTTGTTCATTAAAACTGATCGCAGCTTTGCACTTTCCCTGGGCGTCAGTCTAATTCCCCTCAAGTGTTGGGAATATTCATACATGCATGAAAACCGTATCCGAGAGACCAACATGAACTCCTGGCTGCCCACGCAGAAATCTCGCGACTCCCAGGTGTCACGCTCTTCCTGCTGCAAAAGGCCTCCGGGATTCACAGAAGCTCGTGAGCTTGTGGTACGGTTTAGGGGGTTCAGAGTTGTGAGAGGACACGGGTAGGGTCTCAGGGCTGGGGTAATGATGATAGCAAGCAAACTCTGAACCATATGAGCCATAGTTTAAAGTCCTAGTATCCCCCTTGATCACCCTTATATAATCCCTCATTAAGGAGTTTAGACTCTAGCCCATATAACCTGCACTCTGAACAAAGTAGGCCCTGCAAAGCTTGCGAGCTAGGCTCCGGGGCCTTCCAACCACGAGAAGCCTTCCATCTTCCAGACATATTCCCCTTCAGCGACCCGTTCAGCAAAGTTCTCAGTTTCTGTGAGACTTGTCCGCGGTGGATGGCCAGTCAAACCTCAGCTGCCTCTTGTCAGCACACGAGGAAGTTTTGTAGGCAGGTGTCGCAAGTTTGTGTAGGCAGTTGTCGCACGCAAGGGGAACGGTTAAGCCATAAGTCGAAGCTCAAAAAAGGGTGTCGTCCGGAGTTGCTGAACACGAAACCCTATCTAGGCAAACAAGAATCTGCAAAACCCAACACGGCGAACTGTCGAACAGCCGAGACGCTGGATCTGGTATTGAACTCATCGCATGGCAGATGCGGTCCTTCCAGATCTCTGTCGACCAGAAAGCGGCGAGACTTGCAGTCCGTAAGAGATACCTAGGGCTCTGGGTTTAGCTTGGTCATTGTTCTGAGACGATAGTCAGCTTCAGCAGCAGCAGCAGCTGTAATTATAGTCACGGCAAAAGTAGCAGCGGTGTCTATCCTGAGTGTGTTAGTTCTAGTTTCTATGGACTACTCCCTACGCTAGACAACCAGTAAAACAGATTCTTGATGAGCTTTTTTTTTAAAAAAAATATATATAATTTCTCATGGACACCCTAAATACATAGCCTCAAAGACCACACAAGCACCCTGCACGACCTGGCTTGTAAACTTCCAGTCTCAGCACCCAACGGCCCAGTCAGGGTATCTCTTTGTGCCGCTGACTCCAAACACAACAGTCCCTACAACGCTCGACATCAGTAATCAGGGGGTTCTAGTTGCCCCAAGCCCTACAAACAGGATCCAATAACAATCATATGACTATAACAAGGTCCTGATTTTTGGGGTTGGGGTAACTCAATCCCCCTTATGGAGTAGAATTAAGGGGACCCCAGTATAGACAGTATGGACCCCCAAATACTACAATTAATCCTTATTATGGGGACGTTCAGAAGAGTACCCCTAATTTGGGAAAATTGCCATAAATCATACCCACATTTAGCCGAAGCCACCGAGCTTTGCGCCAGAACGGATCTCTGCGCGTCAAGGGCTCGGCGCAGTCTTTGCCGTTCTACCTACTTTGAGGGTCCCCAGGCGGTACATAGGGGATCTATAACCCCAATAATGAAAAATCAGATGGAAAAGAAAATGAACAAGTTGATGGACACTGAAATGGCATGGCGATTTTAGGGGCGGTCTTGAAGGCTTTCTTGAGTTAGTAAGTCCATTTAGCACGTCTTGCCGGGCTTGTACTGAGTGGGGATAGCAGGCAGACCTATTAAGTCAAAAGGTCATCCAAGTAAGCTAAGCATAAAGCCAGACGAAAGGGCGAAACACGATGTCTCTTCTCCATACGACAACTCCACACATAATGACGCTCGTTTTTGGAAAGCCTAAACCTTAGGCATCCCCATATAGCCCCGTATCCCCTTCAAAGGGCCCCTTAACTTTTGGAACCTACCCTCGGATTAGCTGCTCAAGCTACGGCTTCGCTGAGCTCCCTCTTGGCTTCCAGGAGCTTTGCCTTGCTTTTGGGCTTTGAAAAAATCCCAAACTGAATATGATCCGTTCGGGCTTAGCGTTTCCTGGTAACCGAAAGAAACTTGTAGATTACCCCTTAGGGTTTAGCGTTTTTACTCAATCCTGGCAAAAAAGGGATGGTTCAAAAATTAAATGCCTTTTGCGAGAACCTCCAATAAGGATTATAGTGTTTGTGCCTATAAAGGGCTCGCCCAGCTAAAGATGGGCCACGATGATGCGCCTGAAATCCCTCTAAATCCCTGATCCCCTCGCTGTCTCAAAAACCAATGATGCTTTTGTCCGCCCCTTCCTTGACAATTACGTACTAGGCACTAGGGTCATGTCCCAAAAAGTCCAAAGTCTTCCTGGTCCTAACTAGTAGTGCTACTTTTGGTATGACCAGTACAGTTTCCATTACTACTACTAGAACCATCACTAGTACTATTACTATAACCATTATAAGGATTCTGGTATATTGGGCTCTATATTCGGGTCCCCCTACTACGTAAGGAAATTACCAACTGCAGGCACCCTATGCCATATCTATACGAACATCTGGACGGCAGCATTGGTAAGTATATGAGCAAAAGTCTGAATAGGGAACTGGTATAGGGGTTATGAAAAGGGGGGATCCCAGGAGTTTAGACTACAGCTCATATAGGCTTTTACAGCATTTGGGGCCACAAGGGCTTTAGGATTTAGGGTTGAGGACTCTAGCGAGTTTGGGCTTAAGGGCTCATGGCGGGTAGCGGCTAAAAAAGATTGAGGATCCAGAGTGAGGAGACGCTCATAGGATTTAAAAAGTAGGGATAGAAGCCCAGTTGTAGGTAGTTGCTAGTTCCCACCAAGCTTTTCAAGTAGGGATTAAGGTTCAGGGTTCACGGGAAGGCCGTTCTTTGGCGCCAGCCCAAGAAAGCAGGTCCACTTCGGATGCATTTCTGCGATGCCAGGTGAGCTATAATCTATACTCCTAGTACTCGCCATAATAACCCCTGCAATGCTCCCCTATATGATCCCGATATAACCGTTTTCAGGAGTGTAGACTTAAGCTCGGGTGAAGATTTCTGAAAATTAAGGGCCTGGTTTGAGGCCTCCCATATGGGGACTATAGTAAAGTATGCTGGGGGGGGGTATAAAAAACTTGAAACAGGAGACACTCCATTTTTGGAAGCTGCCATGCTTAGTTATACGTACAAAATCTAGGCACGATTAGTTCCGAATCCGCTTCCAAGAGCTCGAACTCTAGCCACCTTTGAGGGTCCAAGGACCCAAATATTGTTTTAGGGCCCAAATACTATACTATTAATGGTATTTGGGCCCTAGGACCCCATTATTTGGGTCCTTGGACCCTTAGGCTACATGTAGGTATCGTCAACTCCAACTCTGGGCCCATCTATGAAGAGCAGAGGTTTGCCTTTCTAAGTACACGGTTAAGGGTTTTCAGGGTTCTAGGGTTTAGGGTCTGCCTTTCTGGGTACTGTGTGCAGATACAAGACCCCCCTCTTAGGGCGGAAGTTTTGGGCGGGGACATCCCAAATTCTACAGGCTTACTTTCCCTTGCCTTCCCTGCCGCGCGACGGGCCCGATAAGGCCGCCAGACCATTTTCAATCACGCAGGGAAGACCAGGTGACTAACCCGAACCGTAGCTCCTGATTCCGAATGCCAAAGCCCTAGTCCCCCTTAAGTAGATAGAATATGGCCGGGTGTATTATAGTAAGATCCCCATATAACCCATATTCTGTCTACTTTAGGGGGGACTATACTCTATGCTGTATAAATACTTGTAGCATCCTCTGGCCATGCCCCTCTACCACCCATCCCCTAACCTTAGGCAGATTCCTCCCGATGTGTAAGCATACGCCATTACTTCTACCGTCACGAATGCCATGATGTCTAGTACGGTTAATTGTTGGCCCAGGTGGCCCCTTTCTCCTGAATCTTTCGCTTTGCTTCCTCGATGTCAGCTCGCAAGGCTTCGGCCGTTGTACTTGGAGCGGCCATGCTGCAAACTGGTTGGAAGAGGTCTACAAATCTCAGGGTAGCGGCATCCTTGCAAGCACTCTGAATTTGAGGAGTTAAGGAGGCTTCGTATAAGGTGGAATGAGATAGGAACCACAGTTGTCTACAAATGGTTGGGCCTTAGTGCTGAATGAGTTGATGGGCTGGCAAGACACCTTGAGCCAAGGCTTCATCCAGGAGGAAGTCTTGGCTCTTGCCTGGTGAACCCACCATGAGGGCCTTACATTACAGGGCAGGTTTCACCGTGGTTTTCCTCTTGGAAAATATGGCTTACAAGATATAACGTGGAGGAATCTCAGGGAGGGCAGGGTCGTGATCCGGACTAACCTTGCAGGAAGAAGTTACTTAGACCTTGGCGAAACTTTCCACGAAGGTGCAGTGTAGTGTCCAGCTAAACTGCTCGGTCAACAAATGATGGGGGCCACCGTGCGAGCCCTGATCCGCAAGCAGAGCCCTGTGCGGCTTGTCTTGAAAAACTACAATCCTTTCATTTGAGGCGAACGACTGGGCCGCACATCATATTGCATCACTGTACCTGGCAATGCTAAAGCTCGGAAGAATACCTTCGGATAGGATCAAAACCCTGTAGTGAACTATATACATATAACTATAGTGCTACAGAAATCCCATCAGTGAGCCCTTGAACCTCGTTCTGTGCAGCTCTCGCTCGGCCCCCTTGCCGTCCCTGCGGCTGCCAAAGCACTGACAGGATTGCTGATGGCGTCGATGGTCGCCTGCCACTCTTAAAACATGCCTGTCTTGTCTTCGGGACGAGGCCTCTTCGCATAGATAACATCTTTAACATGGATCGAATATGATTGAATGGTAAGTGGATTCCGTCTCAAGGTGGCGACGCTAAAAGCTGCGCTCTTGGTGAGTTTTCATGACCTCGAGATGAAGGTAGTAGTAACAGCCTTCAACACCTGTTGCAACACCTCCCCAAGTGCCGAGTCAAAGAAGCAAGAAGCCTCGCAGGTTATCCAGAAAGTGGTTTCTGAGGCTTGCAAGGTAGGGAGGGCCCTGACCCCTTCATCACGCGGCTACATCAGAAGCGGATTAATGGAGTTTGAGGTGCAGGCTTCTCAACACTACCACTTGCCACTTGTGGTTGCTGCGTGATGCGGGATTTGAAGCCTGGTGGGCTCCGCTCAGGCTTCCTTCCAAAAAGTTTCGCCAAGATGGCATATTGGAATCCACTTCGCTGCTTATGCGCACCAATCATGTTAGAATGTTGAGCAGCGCCTGTTAGTGACAGACGACTGCTGAAGCTGGGCCTTTGCGAGATCCTGGCCAATCAAGTCGTGGAGTTCCTGGCCACTACGAGGGTTCCGGTGCCCAGAACAGACCTACTCCAATGGGGTTATAGGGGTTATATAGGGGTTATGCAAAGGTTATATAGGGGCTATATGAGTATAATGCAAAAGAAGATGGAAACTACTCTTTAGGGTCCATGCATGCCCTCAGGGTTGACCACATCTTGCAAGGTGAACGCTTCTTCACTTGCCCGGGCATGCTTTCTCAAGGCATGAGAGCTTAAATTGTGGATCTCATGGCTTCGGAGATCCTCTCGATTACCTGCTGGGCATATGAGCATAATCTCTCTCTCTCTCTCTCTAAGGGGGCATTTAACAGATGATTAGGGGACTACTATAGGGGTTACTAAGACGGATAGTAGCAGTTGACTATAGCTTATATGAATTTACGTAGTGTAGCCAAACTTTGGCTATTCAATTCACCTGGCATAAAGCATGCAGCATGACGCACAGTCCAAGAGTTTGCTGAACTTTGGATCCTGAGTAGGGTGCCTAGCCCCCCCCACATGGAAAGAGGTGCCTGTGTAGTACGTAGTAAGGGGGTTGGACGGGACACCCCCGCATCATGGGTCTACATTAGGAGGACCCCCCACCCTGTAATAGCGGTATACTAGGAATATAAGGGGACCTTCATATGATCACCATTATCCCTTGTAGTCACCATTACTGGGTGGGGGGTCCACCTAAGGTCTACATTAGGCCCGCAATCAAGGGCCGTGCAGCCTCGCACTCAGCACCCCCAAACAAATCGGGGGTTGCTGAGGTGTGTATATATATATATTCATGTGTTAGGATTCTAGGGAAATATAGGGATTATACAGGGATAATGGAAAAGAAAATGGAAGCTACTATTTACTTGAATAATTTCGCCCGAGCTTCGTGCACTTCAGAGCCCCCACAACAATCAGGATTGGACATCAACAATTCAAGGCCATGTTGATAGTCAGCGGGGCTTCCAAAAGGGAGTTGCAATGATAACGCTACTTAGGGAATCTAGTGTTCGGAAAGTATCTTCTGGTTAGGAAGCCATACATGAAACGAATGCAGAGAGCGAACTGAAGCCTGAGATCGAATTGCCATGCTACACACCTGAATGGCACCATGAGCCCGCAAACCTGGGAGCCTGGATTGCGGACCCCCTTCTAAACCTAACCCTGCCACTCCCCTTAACGCAAAGGAAAAGAGACGACGACAGCTACAAACCCTGCAAGGGAAAGAACTTGATGGGCTGCAGCCAGAAGAAATACATAGTACATGTTTCCATTTACAATACAATTTGCTCATTGAACTCAACCTGTGCGTGCCTCGAAGACATAGAGCCCCTTGCCTGAGAAGTTTCGGTCTGAAGGTCTAGTACAGACGCGCCCCAACCCAAACTCCTCCTGAGTTGAATCGAAGGCGTAGCTCAGCATGCTAAGGTCTCCAGGAAGATGTTATGGCTTCAATGTGATTTCAGAATTGGGCTGCCCCGCACAAGCCAAGCACTTTTTGCAATATTTGCACATGTTCTGTCTTGGTCCGAGCAAACAGGGCAGTGCCTGCAGCAGAGTGTTTTCAAGGGCCTGATTGTGTGTATCGTGTATGGATACTTCCGAGCTACTGTTGCGCCTGCTGCCATTAAGATTTCCTGCTTGGCAGATGTCCTACCGTAGCTGCTATTGCTTTCGCTGCTGCTAGTACTGCTCTTGGTGCTCCTACCACAACTACGGCCCACGCTTTCATTTCTACTTGCTACCATTAGGCAACTAAATACAACCTTTCGCATTCTCAATTCGGGATTACACTGGTGTCTTTCGGTCTGCCTACGAACCTGCAAGCTCCTGTTGAAAGGCTGAGGTCTAAACTTGCAGCTTCTTTCGCAGACTCCATCTTGCCCAGCGCGACATACCTGCGTGTTGCTGGCTGTAACATCGGCGGGACAGTATTCTCAAATGATGGCTCCTTAGAATAGCCACCGCGTAGGGAGTCTACACTGAGATTGCTCGAGATCAAACTTGCAGACATAGCCGCACAAGGGTGCTGAAACATTCAGTTTCAGGGGTGCGCCGCGAGTCATCGTAGGCAACTGGCAGAGCAAACGTACCATGCTGGCATAGTGCGGAAAACTGCACATGAAGACGCCGCCTGCACCCTTCAATCTCAAACCGCCATGCAAACCAATCCGAACTCTTCGAGAAATAGAAGAAGTTCTACTGTTGGTCTCCGGTCTTGTTTCAATGCGAACTGGCGAGGCTTCTGTTTTGTTCTAAAATGGGATGCCCGTTCAGACATGTCCATTGAACGAGATGGAAAGTTGCTTGGGAGGATCCCCGCATACTGAAAAAAGGGATCCCGCATGAGCCCTGAAGCTCCTCAACTGTGACCTTGCTCATCCTCCTCCTTTGCGCGCTTGTCAAAAACAGGGGTCCTGGTCCAAACGTTCAGGATCCTCGCCACAAACTTCCAGGCAACGGACCCGGGACTTGAAAAACCTTTGGGTCAATCACCATGTATGGCTAGATATCCCTGACGGAACTTTTACCTCACATGGAAATGGCCCTTGATGAAACACCGAAGGCTGGCGCACGCGTGCCCCAGCAGCAGTGATGCCGTGCCCTGCTGCAGGGGCACATGCTGAGGACACGGTCACAAGGGTACCATTAACGATGCTGGAGAGAATTCTATTTTATGTCGAGGACGCTAGACTGTGGGGTTGACGATTTTGGGTTCAGGATTCTCAGATATGGGTATGCTTATAGGTCCTTCTGCACAATGGGATTGAATACGACAGTTCACTTAGAAGCTCCACTTCTCAATCACGGCACGGCAGCTTGTAGCAATCCCTGAAATGGTTATAGGACCTTGTGCACTCCGTGGCTTCGCCGTCACGCCATTAGGAATCCAGAGGTAATTTCATCTTCCATTTAACTTTTCCACTTGATTCTTCATCATTCCAATTAAGTAGCCCCTTCCGACTTGAGGGAGACTGCCAAAGCCTACATGTTTCCAAATGCGCCACATTATTTCCAGAGTGTAGAATGTCCAGATTTCGATTGTCTTTCGCGTAGACTTCTTGCTTGTTTCTAGGATCTAGAGGTCTTGATAGGCCTGCTTCAACTATGCTCGCTATTATCTTATGATGTGTCTTGGCCCGTTTGGCATCAAATTAACCACTCCTCATGTGCTCGCCATTTTTCTAACTTGAACAGAGAACTTGCTTTTTGCTAGAGCAAGGAATTGAGGAAGGGATCCCTCTAGTCGCCTTTGTGTAACAATTAAAAAGTGTAGTAGTTTCCATTTTCTTTTTCAACACCCAGCAAGAAAAACCCTAAGCCCTAAATAGTAGCTTCCATTTTCTTTTCCATTATCCTTATATAACCCCTAGAACCCCTATATAACCCCTTATATGGATCCATATAACCCCCAGAGCCTCGCCGAGGCGGTCGCCAACGCGACGCGACAGGCTCCCGGCACTTACTGCGGCCTGGCGAGCAGCCTCCGGTAGATCAGCAGCTGGTGCACTGTTATAATGGGGCAATATGGGGCATATCTAGCAAGCATAAGCTAACCCCGCATCTCACATGCATA